CAAAGACTTGAGGTAATTGATTACTTCTTCAAAGAACCTAAGTAGTCGATTACTTCACTTAGGTAATCGATTACTTCATATTAGAAATTTAGTTTTCAGCTGCTCTTTCGATTTTAATGAATCTAAGTGACTTCTAAATGATTTCTAGTGACATCTAGCATATGTATGATTATCTTTCGCACTTATATAATAACTCTTGATGTGTGTGAGATCTTGCATGCATGATCAAAGTGTATATGTCACTAATGCATGAGTTTATGACTTATTAATGCAACTTTCAAGTTAAAGATCAATAAACTCAATCCTAAAGATTTTACGACTCGAAAAACTTATTACAAACAGTAAGAGCATTGAGTTTTCTTTGTCTTCTATAGTCTTCAAGATTTGAATCTTCTAGTTGCTTCTTCTAACTTAAAAAGCTATGACTTCTAGCTTGACTTTGCACATTTGAGTAGATTCAACAATTTTGCACTTTGCTTTGGTCTTTTAGTACCATTTAGGACTTGTTGACATGCCTTCCATTGAGAGCATCCATGTTGAGCTATGTTGGTCCTTTGTAGGTGCTTTGTTATCATTATAAGACTTATTTTTACATCGATATAAGAATATCTTATCCCATATATATTTGCACATGTTCATCGATTACCCGACTAAAGACCTTTGATTAAAAGGAATATGTTCCTTACCACTTGAACTAATAGTTATTGATGTGAATGCGTTTTTGATTCCCACTTTTCGCCACTAAACCTTTGAGCAGCGACTCTTTTTGCATTATGACAATATTTCATGTGGAAAGATAAACTACTTTTGCTATGAACTATTGATAGGAGGCTTTACGGATGTACTGGCTAAGCATGAAATTAGGAAGTGCAAAACTTTTATTTTAGAAGGATAAGAGTTTCATTTAGTTAACGTTCCTTTTCCTTACCAAATAATGGTAGTTCAGTTGGTGTCAAAGAACTGAGCAGATAAGGGTGAGAGTATCTGTTCGATTCTTCTTAATATTGTCTTTGGAAGGAATTTAAAATCTTAACCCCAGAAACTGATTGGAATATATAAAAAAAAAAGTTTCCCTTCCCTTTTCTCTTCATTTTTTCATCAACTCTCTTATTCGCCTATACAATGTGCTCAACCTCATCAAATGTCAGTGCTGGTTTAGTGGAAAGCAATGCAACCTCCCAATTCAATCCTTGGAATTCAAGTCTACATACATGGATCCAAACACGTCTATTATTTGCCCAAAGAACCTGCTTTCTTTTTCATATATTGCGTAGTGATTAGGAAGTGCATGTTTTACAGTGTCTTGTTGGTACTGAATTTATTGCAAAGACTTGACGTCTTTCTTTTCACGCCTGTCTTTTGTGGTCTTCCACTTAGCATACTATGCTGTCTTGCAACCCTTCTTTCCTTCTTCGTTCTATGGAAGTTACAACGGATCTTCTGCTACATTTTATTTTGGCCACTAGTTCCCTTCACTTTATTTCCTCTTTATCATCCTTCTCTGGAAGATTTATTTTCATTCACACATTTCGATTGAGATTCCATGATCGATATACTTGGTATGTAAAATTAATTATAAATCTCACTTATATTGTCAGTCTCTTGGTATTTACATAAAATTTTCATCTCAATATTGATGAATTTAACTTTAACTTTGTTTAGAATATATATAGCTTAAAAAGTTTAACAAATACTTGCTTTTATTAAGGGCTTTTTAACTATATTTTGACACAAGAATACACGTTCATGTATATCATTGTCCACCATATGTAGATAACCCGTGGATTCATGAAAGTGTAAACTTAAGTTGGCAATTATATCTTTTCAGCATTGCTTTCGTAGCTTTAAGGAGCGTTTTCTACTTAGTTACATCTTCAAAAAGTTCAACGCACTAGTCTGACAATTAAACAATTATGTATTTTAATTTGGGAAATCCTTTTAAAGGACAAAATAATATTGTATCAATTTAAATGAAACTTTAATATTTCATTTAATATTTAAATTATTATTTTTAATCAATAACCTACAGCTCTTCTCACAATAATTTTTCATGTCACAAATTTTGTTGAGATATATAGTTCTTCAGAATCTAAATTATAAGGCCTTGGGCACTCTCACCCTTTGAGTTAGCCTTTTGGGGCGGTGTATCTCAAGGTTCTTTACAAGGTATCAGAACTTGAGTGACTACAAGTCACAAGTTCGATCCTCACCGCCCCTCACTTTAAAGTGGAATTAAAATAAAAAAGCACAAAAAGGTAAACCAAAAATTTGGCCTGTGCATAATCCACGCTTCAAGCCCAATGGGCTCTCGTGTGAGGGGGCGTGTTGAGATATACAGTTCTTCAGAATTTGAATTATAAGGCCTTGGGCACTCCCACCCTTTGAGCTAACTTTTGGGGTGATGTATCCCAAGGTTCTTTACAAATTTCTCTCACCATGAAATACAATTATTTGATTTAAAATAACACGATGTTTTATTCTTTGAAATGATAAATATTTTTTCCTTTTTAATTTAAATTTAAAATATTCATAATTTATAAGAAGGAACAATTACCTTAATTTTTTAAGTGTTTCATATCATTGAATTACAGAGTCACTGAGGTTTTAATAGAGGTTCTAGATTTAAGTTGTGGTAATAATTTTTAAATATAGAAGAATTTAAAATATTATGAATAAAAAAATCAACAACTAACAAATTTGTGAGGTATATTGTGAATAGATAACTAATGGCAGACATTTTGCAAAAGGAGATAAACACTACATCTTAAAACAGGGCCTCTGTAGATCATTATCAAACGACAAGTTTACTAGACAAGCAACATCAAAAGGTAAAAATAATATGACGACTGTTATAGAAATTTGTTAGGTTTAGATGGAAAGGGCAAAATGTGTACTTAAAAACAATGTTATTAAACTCGGCCCAGTCCTCGACTCGATCGAGGTACTGGGTCATTGGGTCATTGGTTCAATCAGTGGGTCACTGATTGAACCGCATGACCCGGTATGTATATATAAATATATAATTTATGTTAAAAAATATATAAATATATTCAAATACCTGTAAAAAATAATACAAGTTCCAAATATTCTAATATAAAAAATAATAAATTATATATCATTGTTCAGATCAATTGTTAAAATTTGATATTAAAGAATATTACCTTATATATAGACTTATTGAATTATTTTTATTTAAAATATCCCAATCATTAATAATTGATAAACACAGCCCTTCCTAATTCTTGATTACAGTATCCATTAGAAATCCATTTGTAACCCCAACCACGCCACGTCATCGATTTGTAATATATAAGTCATTGGAGGATTACTGCATCCACCAAATTGGACGACGTGGATTGTGAATTACACACCGTCGATGATTTTGTAATCAACAATTAAGATTGCTTTTCCATAAAACACAAATCACATCAACAGAAAAAATATAATAGGAATGGAAAAAGGGTTTGTCATTTACTTTTGACACAACAAGTGCGACTATCGAGGTTCAAATTATCCTGAAATGCAGTTTGCTCTCCATATTCATGAAATGCTGTTTGCAAATCATCCTTTTGCGCTTCCTCGTGCATATTTGCGATCAAAATAATCCATCCTTCATCCGTTTTCATGGTTCAGATTTCAGATCTACGCTTCTTTTCTCCTCGCGAAGTCGTTTATTTCTTCTTCTTCTTCTTTTTAAAATGAATATGCATGATCCACCGGTTCAAATTAAAACCGCCCGAGTCACCGGTTTTTGCAAAACCCGGCCGAGTCACACCAGGTTGCACCGGGTCGCACACTTGACCGATCCAACATAAAAATCGGATCGACCATAAGACCGGTTTACCGGTTTTCGGGTTGACTCGGCCGGGCCGGTCTGATTTTTTCAACACTGCTTAAAAATCTAGTCTGATTGATTATAGCTGCATACCATACAATGTACAATACATGTGACATGCACATCCTTCTTTCCCCTAACCCACAAATTGGGGCTTTGAACAGGCTCAATTTTTGGTTTATTTTTGTGCTTTTTTTTTTTAATTCCACTTTAAAGTGGGAGGCGGTGAGAGCTAGGCCCAATTTTTGGTTTACTTTTGAACTTTTTTTTTAATTCCACTTTAAAGTGGGAGGCGGTGAGAGCTTAAGCTTTGATACCATGTAAAGAATCAAGCTAGCTCAAAGGGTGAAAGTGTTCAAGGCCTTATAAACTCCACATTAGTTGCACATACAACCAAACTATATATCTCAACACGCCCCCTCACATGAGAGCCCATTGGGCTAGAAGCGTGGATATTGCACACGCCCAATTTTTTGTTTACCTTTTTGTACTTTTTTATTTTAATTCCACTTTAAAGTGAGGGGCGGTGAGGAAATAACTTGTGACCTTATAGTCAACTCAAGCTCTGGTACCATGTAAAGAACCTTGAGATACACCACCTCAAAAGCTAGCTCAAGGGATAGGAGTGTCCAAGGCCTTATAAAGGCACATTAGTTGCCCACATAATCAATATGAGACTATATATCTCAACAAAATATGATTGGTAACCTAAGGTTATGACATTGTTTTTTTTTTTCAAACTGATAGTTTATATAAATAAATATAGGAATTAATATTTCTCATATTTAGGACATAATTTTATCTCTTACACATATAAAATGTTAAGACCCGTGTTTTTTTCCCCTCTTCTCTTTATATAGCCCAACATGAATCCCGTATACTTTTATGTATGTGTAAAAGATAATTTTATCACCTACAATGTAAAAAATATTAATCCCATAAATATATTACATCATGTCGGAGATATAGGAAAAATTTGTGTGCCACTAGATAATACGGAAAGGACAAGGGTAGAATCCACCAAAAAGACAAATAATTGTGGGCTCAGTTAGTAGGAAAAGAGTACCGGTGGCTTTAGCATTCTTTGATTATTTCGAATCCAAAACTAATAAAATGCGCCTCAGGTATTAACGACAAAACTAATGATTTATTGATGTAGCATGCCTAGGATAATTCTTGTGTAATACCGGCAAATTGACTTCACACATTGTTCCAAAACTGTGAATTATCGCGCAACAGGCATTGATTTCCCTATGCTTCTTCTCTAACATATTAATATTTAAAAATATCATTTCTCACTTACAAAAATTCCTTGTTTTCCTCTTTCACATCACATGTTACTCTTTAATTGTCATAATCGACCCTTGAGAAAACTAATGCACAGTCTTTTCCATGCCTCTTTATCTGGCTCCCACAATGCTGCCTTAACCCTTGCCTCCACAGCAAAAGATTCCTGAGATTCAAAACATCCTTGATAAGTAATTAACTCAAACCATGTCATGGATCCAAAGACCAAAAGAAACAAGCTAATGCAAGACAAGAATATATATGTGCATACCATGATGAAACTGCGTTGAATAAGACGATCAATAAGGTGCAAAAGGATGTCATATGTGTATTCAGGGTGGCCTTGGATGCCCATGATGTGATCTCCATACCTAAACATCTCAATTCCTGTCTTTTCAGACCAAGCAATCACCTCTGCTTTTGCAGGGAGCTCTCGTATCTAATTTGATACAATTTAACATAATGATATCAGTTTACTAACATGAAATAAAATAACAACAATATAGGAGGCTATATTATATGAGTATCTTTAGAAATAGAGTTAGTTACACACACCTCATCACGGTGGCATTCGATTATGGAAAGCCTTGATGGCAACTTGAGAGATGACAAAGCCAATGATGAAGATGATGACAAGTTAATGGTTCTGACACTGATGTCCCAACCAGTGGGAGAACGGCTCACCTTCCCTCCCAATGCACGCCCAAGTATCTAATCAAACATTATTTTAATTATATATCAGACGTCAAATTTATACAAGTCAAACACAAGCTTTCTCTTAATTAAAGGGAAACAAAGAGTAAGAATGTTAATTATGATTGTAAAAAATGAATTATAAATAATTATAATAGGATTTTATTAATCTCATATATTAAAAGAGATAAGTTAACTCATGTTATATAGATAAAGTTGTGGGTTCCACTACCTGAAAAAAATAAAAAAAAGTGGTACAATTATAGAAAAGTGTATAGAACAAAAAATTTATATCATGTAACATGAGAATAATTTTTTCCATTAAATATTTTATAATAATTTCTCATTTAATTATTATTTTTTATACAAAATAAATTTATTTATCCTCCTGGCTCTTTCTCTTAAAACTCTTCCTCTTAGGGATATCATCATAAACGTTATAAATTTCCTTTAAAACATGAAAAAGACAAAAATGCACCTCCTCGTTCAAGCTTTCTCCCCTTCATCCCAGTACAAACAAGTGATCTAGGACCCCAAATAGGACCCATTCCGAAAGTGAAATTTTAACCAAACATACAATTAATACTAAAAACAAGAATCCTAGCGGTGCTCACATAGTCCCATGCCATTGCAAATTTGCAACCATGAAGAAGAAGAAGAAATGGACAAAGGGGGCGGGGGGGACCCGTACAGTATAAAGTATAAAGCACTCAAAGTACAAGGAACCGTTGATAATTTATTCGACCGAAAAAGAAGTATAATAGGATGTGTGATTTATATAAAATTTATATGATCGGTCATATTTTGTGTAAATCTGAAAAAAAAAAATTCTCTTTCCAATCACATAGCTAAAGTTGAACAAATTTTTTTTCTTCAAATTTACACAAAGTAAAATATGATCGGTCATACTTTATGTAAGTCATTCAAAAAACATAATTTTCGTCTTTTTAAAACGACACACTCTTTATTTGAATGCTTAAAAATTTACAGTAAAAGAAAGTAATTCAAAATTTAACCATAAAATTTTGATCCTTGAACTTGTGTTGATAGAACAGAATTTTTTTTCTGCAATCTACGGTTCAGACACAAGAACACAAATTTTTTTTTTGAATACATTAAGAATCGAGCATCTACTATCCACCCCCTCACCAGTCACCACTGCTGGGAGATTTTTTTTTTTTTTTTGGAGAGAGAAATTTTTTAGTGTCATCGATGCACCGAATTTTTTTGTATATTTTAATTTACAATGTAATATATCTTACTTGTATTACATTATTAATAAATAAATAATTTTTAAAATCAAATGAAAAAATAATTTGATAAAAAATAAAACATTGTAAATAAGAGATGCACCGATTAGCACTAAAGAAATTTTCCACTAGGCTGGCCCCGGTGGCCTTACCACCAGACTGGCTGATACCTCATTCATTGACTTTTCTTCTTTTTAAAACAAAAATTTCCAAATCAATTTTATTTCAACTTATTTGTCATTTTAAAAAATGATTAAACTATTTGACCATGTCTTGTTTCCATCTTCATTAAATGAAATAAAAACACTTTAGTTATACAGATATTTTATTTATTCTTATAAAAATAATTAAAAAATTTAATATTTCTTAAAGAATGACACATATTTTCATTTAAAACTTAAATTGTTTCAAATTAATTATATATATTTTTATTTTTATTTTTAACATCAAACATTTTTTGCTAATATATGCTGATTTCCTTGAAATTCAAACATTTTCGAAAGAAGGAGAAACAGCAGCTCAATCAAAAAAATAAAATTAATGATTTAGATTACCTGGTGGCCAAAGCAAATGCCAAGGATTTTCTTGTTCATAGTGTTCAATTTGTTAAGGAGAGCGAGAAGGTCATGGATCCAAGGGTCGTTGCCATGTGCATCATTGCAGCTTCCTGTGATGACAAATCCATCATATAAAGCCACCTCATCATCCTCCGGAAACTCTCCACGCGCCACCCTGTACACATCCCACCTCTCCCCTTCCTCCGCCAGCATTCTCACGAAAATCCCAAAATACCCTCCGTACTTCTTCCTCGAGTACTCTGAATCCTCCGCACACAATAACACCGCAAACCTCTTCCCACCCATCTTCTTCAACTGTCTCTCTCTCTCTCTGAGATCTTAAATAAAGAAAGAGAAAAAAGAAAGAGACAAGAGGTTTCTTAGAGAGAGAGAGAGTGCAGAAAATGGACAGAGAAGACAAGGGTTTAACGTTTTTTTTTTTAAACAGCGTACAGATGTAAGTGGTTGTGTTTTGTGGGAAATGAAAATCAACGGGGGAGATTTTTAAAGGGTTGGAGTTATGAAAATGCCCATGTATGGTTCCGAATATAACGAGACTGTCCTTGTTAATATTTCAATAAAACGACCCTTTATTATTAATTGTTGGGGTGGCAAGCATAAACGACCCCCTGGTTTTACTCAATATTGTGGCATTTTTAATATATTTTTCTTTCAAAATTTGGTTTGCAGTTACCAAAAATAGCTTGACCGGCTAAAGTAAGAACTTGAATGTGACCGGGAATGCGGCCATGGTTTAAACCAGCAATGAACCTGTCCTTGAAAACGATGTTTGAATCAAATGGTATCTAACTTTCCATGCCAGAATGTTACGTACGTGGGGATCACTCAAAGACTTCCAAACTTTTTCAGTTCTTGGGTTTTGGCCTTCAATTTTCATTTTGTTAATTCATTGCAGTTAGGTAGGCCAAAAATGAGCATTCGGCTAAAATAAGTCCGGTTGAGTTAGAAAAAAATAAGTTAGTAACTAAAGTCAGTTCTATTTGTTTCACCTCGAAAAAAATTGAGCCAACCTACGAGTCAAACGGATTGGCTCGCGGATTATGGTTTTTTTTAATATAAAAGTATAAAAATTAATGAATGTAAAGTGGAAAGCTAAAACTTAAAATTTCAATTCCAAAGACCCAAACAAAAATACACTGCAGCTGCCAAAAACCGTGCATTAAGGACCTTTTTTATAGTATGTGTGACAGTGTGAATGTGATGCCAACTGCTAATAGTTCAAGTCCAAATGCAAAATTTTTTATGGTTTATCTGTATAATGTCTTAGTATTGAATGAATTAATAATTTAGGAAAAAAATTTAGAAGTTATAGCATCAATGAAATTTTTTTTTTCGAGTCAACTCGCGAGTCAACCCTAACCCGACTCGGGTTAGGGTTGGGTTGAGTTTTCTGGCTCATTTATTTTTCAAGCCAACCCTAATCCAGCTCGTTTTTTTTTATTGAACGCGAGTTAGGTCGGGTTGAGCCGGGTTGACCCGTTTTGTCAACCCTAATTGCAGTCTTGAAAGTTACCATTATAATAGAGAAAATTATTTATATTTTTATCACATAATCTTTTTTCTGCTACACTTTTATAAAAGTAAATGAATCTTATTGTAAAATGAGAGAGAAAAAAAATTAATAACATACATTCATTTTTGTATTAGTGTAGCTTTATTATAACAAAAACAAAAATATTAAACTCATTATAACAATAATAATAATTATAAGATCGATGCCCTTTTCGTTTATTTTTTTAAATTGTTAACTTAGAGAAATATATATTTTTGTTGGGTCAATACCTTCTTATGTCATATGAGAAGTTATTGACATAAGATAGTATTTTCTTACACACAATAAACATGTGAGTTCCATTATAAAAAAAAAAAATTAAGTGCAATCCACATATTTATTATATATATATATAGAAAAAGAATATTTACATAGAAGATGTTAACCCATTTTTGTTACATTGGTGATTTTGTAGGCCTTAATTAGAAAGAGAAATGAAATAAAAAATAGGGTGCATCAGATGTTCTGTTATAGAATATTCTGTAACTAATTTTAATTATATACTTCTGAAAATATATAATTGTAATATTAAAATTATTTTCTTAACTATATATTTTCAAAAATATATAATTATAAAATAGTTGCAAAAATGTACAATATCATTCCTGCAACATGATTATTATATTTTCATAAAAAAATAAAGTGTAACATGCAGCATGAGATAACTATTATCTCCTATAGACTCATTTATGCAGATAAGATTCACTTTCATAACGAGATAGAAAAAAAATAAAATAAAACTCATCTTAAATTTATGTGTATAGAAAATAAATTCTTTCTTATTTATTATTCCCTTTTACCTATGCCATGATGCTCATGGGCTTGTCTTTTCCTGTCTTCTCTGCCTTGCCCACTCCACCTTATTTGCTGGACATTAAATACAGGTAAAATCGTAGTTAATGCCATAAGAACAGCTCGTTGACTTTTATATTCCAAATTTTCTAATCATTGAATAAACATATAAATTTATAAGAAAATGAAACAGATCAGGTTGGATCCATGAAAAGATCAATTTTACAAATGATATATTCACATTTCACAGTTTAAAATTATGGGATTTGATTTTCTCACGTTGCATGAGAATTCAATTTTCATGTTATGACTCAACTAGTGGTGGACCCCATATTTATTTTTAAAAAAAAAAAAAAAATTGCACGCAAATCGAAGGATCACTAACATGAAAGTTGAATTCTCATGCAACATGAGAAAAAGTTTTCCCTAAAATTATTTATATGTTTTATGTTTTAAGAGTTTGCCATTCTAAGTAGTATATATATGAGCTATGACATTAAATACAGGTAAGATCGTAGTTAATGCCATAAGAACAGCTTGTTGACTTTTATATTCCAAATTTTCTAATCATTGAATAAACATATAAATTTATAAGAAAATGAAACAGGTCAGGTTGGATCCATGAAAAGACCAATTTTACAAATGATATATTCACAGTTTAAAATTATTTATATGTTCTATGTTTTAAGAGTTTGCCATTCTAAGTAGTATATGAGGAGTATCTTTAGTCTATTTTATCAGTTTTTTTTTCTTTGAAACTAAAATTGTAAAGAACCTTGGGATAAATTGTAAAGAATCTTTGGATATATCACTCCAAAAGCTAGCTCAAAGGGTGAGAGTGTTCAAGACCTTATAAACTCCACATTAGTTGCATATACAACCAATGTGAGATTATATATCTCAACACGCCCCCTCATACGAGAGTTCATTAGGCTTGAAGAGTGGACAATACAACAGGCCCAGCCTATCTGTGCTAAGAAACGTCACAAGAGAAAGTGGGGGCCGGCGAGGCTCTGATATCATGTAAAGAACCTTGAAATACATAACCTCAAAAGCTAACTCAAAGGGTGAGAGTGTTCAAGGCCTTATAAATGCTATATTAGTTGCCCACACAATCAATGTGGGACTATATATCTCAACACGCCCCCTCACGCAAGAGCCCTTTAGGCTAGAAGCGTGGAAATTGCACAGACCCATTTTTGGTTTACCTTTTGTGCTTTTTTTTTTTTTTTTTTTTTTAATTCTACTTTAAAGCGGGGGACGCTCTGATACCATGTGAAGAATCTTGGGATACACCACCCCAAAAGCTAGCTCAAAAGGTGGGAGTGCCCAAGACCTTATAAACTCCACATTAGTTGCACATACAACCAATGTGAAACTATATATCTCAACAAAAATAAGTCAACTTGTAAGTTATTTTGATCCGAACCTATTAAATTCGGATATAAGTGAACCATTTCAAAACAACTTAATTTTTGAAAGTTATACTTTTAGGACAGAATTCGGCCACTCTGAATATGCAACAAAAATGCCAATTTTTTATTAAAAAAATAAATAACTTATAAATTGTTGAATTGCATGGAAATGTACTTATAATATATTAATATTATGGATATCTAAAAAAGTTTATCATATTATACCGCCTGATTCATGCCATATTGCCATTGATAAAAGATGAATTGTTAGAAAAACTGGAGGAGCTTCGTCCAAAAAAGAAAAAAGAAAAACTGGAGGAGCAGTACAAGTGTACAACTTTCCGCATAAAACGATAATTGTCACATAAAAATTTCCGCATTTTATTTTGAACAATTTTTATGCCAAGATCTCACTATATTTGATTTTGATTTAATGATTTACATTAGCTCATTTAATGAAGAAAAAAAGTAATAAATTGTATTTTCAATGAAAAAAAATACTTAAATTTACATTAAATTAAGATAGAAAATAGAATTTATTCATTAAAAACTATTTTAATAGGGTGAATTTTCATAAATTCGCAATTCATTATATATATGTACTCATCTTCTATAAAAATATTAAAACATAATTAGCAACTTTTTAAATTTATTTTTAGCAAAAAGAATTTGTGAGATATAAAATGAAAAAATGAGATTTGTATGCTTAACATTAAACTAGCAATATAATTGGAGCTTGGGTTCTTGTTGGAGGGTGTTAAATGTTCAAGTTTGTAGAAGGTGTTCCACTTAATAAATGGTCCACCGGTCATACCTGCAAAAAAAAATGAGAATTAAGAATGACTACTTGTTCATTAAGTAAATTAACTATTACACTTATTTAAATAATAATAATAATTTTATCTACACCAACCGCAAAACTCCGCCCGGTGGTCGAATTCGTCGCCCAATGTTATGTATAACCACCATTGAACCATTTCTTAAGTGGTACACAGCAGCATGAAAGCAGCCAGTTTGTATAAAGTAGAACAATATTATTATGTTTCATTTGTTAAAAATATTGGAGAAAATTGATAATTAATGCTTTATAATATCATAAATACATGTATTAGAAATAACTTAAAAACTTTGTGAGTGAATTCACTATCTTGTAAACTCAATTTATTTATTTACTTTTTATATTGAATTTAATGGCCTAGTTCATTAAAGCCAACAAATATGATGATGAGAATAGATCTCAATAGCTGAAGCTCTATTGAATTAGTTTAACAGAACAACTAACTTTAAATTACACGTGTGCACTTATGCAAGCTAATTTAATAGAGCTTCAGCTATTGAGATCTATTCTCAACAAAATAAACGAGATTCGAGAATTAATTACCATCTTTCTTTGTAGTGACAGAGTTAAGGAAGGGGTTGTTTTCTTCAGGCAATCATCTCGGGTACACACACAATGGAATAATATTAGAATAATATAATAAAACATCTCTAAATATCATTTTTCTTTCCAAGAATTAAATGAATTTATGAATATAACAATACTTTGACAACACATAATGGAAGATTGGGAAGTCTTTATTAGCAAAAGGTACAACCGGCACATTCCATTCAAATTTTGATATTTTAATTAAGGGTTTA